GACATAAGGACTGCTGGAATTAAGGGGGGTCATTAGTAACTTTCACAAGACTGTCCGGTTTGGCCAATGTACATGGCAGAGGGGCATTGCTGGCACATGATGGCATATATCACATTGGTAGATGTGCAGGTGAACGAGTCCCTGATGGTATGGCTGATGTGATTAGGTCCTGACATAGAAAATAGAATTAATCTGGGCCCTTCTCAGTTCTATAGCTCACACCTCTCCTCCACAAAGACAGTCAGCCCATTCAACTCAAGCAACTTCTTTAGCTTTTCTATGGGATGTCCCCATTTGTAGGGCTGCTACTTTGTCCTTTGTGCATACCTTCACTCCTTATGCCATCACGCCTGCTTCAAGATCTAAAGCAAATTTTGGGAAAACAGTATTGCAGTTCCTATTTAAATAGTCTCTGCACCCCATCTCCTAATGGTACTGTTGTGTGTCATCTGAGTGCAACACACGCGTGCAATCACTCAGATAGGGTTACCAAATAGCAACTGTGAAAAAACGGGACAGGGAGTGAGGGGTAATAGGCGCCTATATAAGAAAAAGCCCCCAAAAATGGGACTGTCCCTTTAAAAATGGGACATCTGGTCACCCTATTCAAAGAAGAAAAAATGGTTACTTACCTATATTGTAACCCCTCTGCACCAGAGTCCTGAGTCACCATATTTTGGTGCAAAGGAACTCTCGGGGATCGGGGCAGCATTGCCCTTATATAGCCTTGAGATGGGCCATGAGGATGTGCAGAGTGTGTGTGCCACCTTGACAGGTACACCTACAGAAAACACTCGGGCTCTGAATGGGTGCACTCTCCAATGTGGAATACATATGTGCAACCACATCTCAAAGAACATCAGTTACAATACAGGTAAGTAACCTTTTTTTCTGGGGAAGATCTTGAGACAACACAGATTCATATGCCAGTAATACATGGACAACACCCAACTATACGTCTCCATTATGTCAGATACAAACAGTGCCTTCCCTTAGCTGTTACAGGGTATATCTGCACAGCAAAAGCTGTGCAAAGACCAGCCTACTAGAGTTAGCTTGAATCTAGCTAGCACAGGTAATATAGCAGTGATGGTAGTGCACTCTGGGCTTCAGTACATGTAGTACAAGCCTGGGATGGATCCTGGGTATGTACTTGGCTTGCTAGCCCATTCAGAAGCTCATGTTGCACTGTCTTCATCACTGTTGTTACCCACTCTAGCTGGATTTAAGCTAGCTAGGGTAGGCTAGCCCGTACACAGCACTAGCTCAGGTAGGTTAGTCAGTGCACAGCTTTTGCTGTGTGGACATACTGTTAGTGTCAGCGAAGAGCAGATGTCTGATACTAAATGTGGGCAATACAGAGTGATGCTAGTGGAGAGAAGATAATGCTTCATAGAACCCAGAACCACATTAACACCCTCCATGGGGTGGGGCCAGCTGGAATCTTCATTGTTACTGGATGCCCAAATAAATATGGCTGCTGGAAAAGAGCTCTTCTGCCTAAAGCTGGCCAGGAGACTGCACCCCAGGGTGTCAGTTTTGGAGTAGGCCACAATGATCCATGCATTAATGACCATCTGCATTTATTGTTGCAACATATTGTACCTGATTGTGGAACACTGATGCATGTTGGTACCTCCTGTTCTCTGCCTGTGGCACATAATAGTCTACTCTCCAGTGGACTATAATATTTTGGTCTAATTTCAGTTGTATTTAGTGTGCAGGTGCTGGGTAGTGTAGGTGGCATGTTATGTACAGGAGGTCTCTTCTGGCCTTAAACTCTTGACTCTCCGATTGTACCACATTGTCCAATTAGTTCAAAGTGAAACAGCTTACCTACTTAACATGGGTTGCTGACAGCGTATCACTGCAATGTTCTGCTCATTTCACTAGCTACTCACTGAACCGAGTCCAACTTGGGGTTTCAATACTGATCCTCAAAGCCCCTCATGACATTGGCATGAGCTGGTTTAAAAGCTTCTTCTCAGTAATTATAAACTCCCATGTCAGCTGCATTCCTCAGGAACTGTGGAACTACTAAAACATGTGAAGACTTATAAATGCAGGTGACAGAACTGAAAGCTGCTGGCCTAGAAGTGTGAAACTTGTTTCTGCAGGAAATTAAAATGATCTTGAACCTAATTTTCAGAACAAAGTGCAAAATTCACCACTTTGATTTAGCTTTCCTGCATTTAAAATAGCAATCAGGAGGGAAAGAAACAGAGACTCTTTGACTTACAGAATTTGTAAGACCTTGAAATACTGTGGTGGTGCGTGTGGCCTTCATATATTTACTGACTCAATTAATGTGTGGGTGAAGTAGATATTTAAAAACAAAAGTTAAGATACAACAGAATTTTATATGGTAGAAAGGGGCTTATGTGGGGGAGATCTTGCTGTAAAATACAGAACTTCGGTAGATGGAGATTTGTTTTGCCAAGAGAATTTTGGAGGTTCATTTCACAAGGGAGAATATGGGTGTTATAACTTGGTATTTTTAGTAGTTGTGCAACTGACTCCTTTACAGAGCATCGGGAAACACTCTCCTCTTATAAAGAGTATGTAACCAGCTTTTCCTGCCCTGTGGTCTGGAATCCTGAAGCGGGGGAAAGCATCATGGGGAGTGGTTTAAGGGGAATGAACCTGTTATGCGAGGGTCTGAGGAGAGTTTGTTATGGAAGGGCCCTAAGGCAAGGGTCTAGTCCCTGTAAAATAATAATTGTAATACAGGTAATGCCAGTGCGTTGTCACTCTGATTTTGTGGGTGAGGGACCAGTAAGACAGATGCTAACTTCATTTGCCAAGTTGTCCATTTATACGACTGTAAGTGGAGATTAAAAAATGTAAATGGCTGCATCAAGAGGAGTCTTCAATTTAGAGAAGATACTCTGGATTAAATCTTTTAATACATTTATTACTAGAGCCATAGCTAGGAATTTTTTTTATATGATGCCCCCTAATTGCAAAGAAGAGTATGTTGCCCATTTTAATGTTAAAATGTCTAAATTTTAAAAAGAACGTGGACTGATAACTCAATTAAAAATTGATTTATTTTTGCTCCTATATTAATCATTTCCCATTCCAACTCATATTGTGATGACACGGTGATACCAGAAAGTGGGCTATAGCTTTCTTTGAAACAGTCAGTGTTTCTCCTTTATATTAAGTGGGATCATTAGAGTATGAAGTGCTCCCTTCTTGACCCTTTATTGGAGAATCAGGGATCAAGTTTGGGATCCAATCTTTGAAAAGTTTGGCTGTATGTTGTGTTCATTGCCAGGACTCTCATAAAAGCTCAAACCACTTTCCCTATCCATTTCTTTTAATATAGGAAAATATTTACTTTGTTTTTGCATAAGAGCTGAAGTTAACATGCTGCTATTTTGCTTACCAGCATCATTAATGTCAGCAACATTCTGAGAATAGGATTTGTGTTCTCTTGTTTGTCTCTATCAGTAGAACAAAATCATTGTAGGATTAAGCAGTAACTATAGGATTTACTTCTGTTAGTCTTAAAGGTGCCACAGGACCCTCTGTTGCTTTTTACAGATTCAGACGAACACGGCTACCCCTCTGGTACTATAGGCTTTTTGTTAATTTTCTGTCAGTTTGGTGGAATTTTTTTAAAAGTAGAAACCAGAAGGCAGTAACATCAGATTTATATACATTTGAATGTAGATCAAATTGGGACGTAAACTGTTTCACAAAGGAGGGATATACTGTTGCACTTCAAGCCCAAATGTGTCTGTCTTACCTCATGTGATAATTCTCTGGGACATTTAGAGCAGTATTTGTTTTGAATAAATATTAAGAGTATTTTAGATAATATGTAATCTACAGCATATTTTTTTGTATTTTAGGAAGCTGAATATGGTGGACATGATCAGATAGATTTGTATGATGATGTCATCTCTCCATCTGCAAATAATGGCGATGCCCCAGAGGACCGTGATTATATGGACTCTCTCCCACCATCAGTTGGAGATGACGTAGGTAAAGGAGCAGCACCAAATGTTGTCTATACATATACTGGAAAGAGAATTGCATTGTACATTGGAAATCTTACTTGGGTAAGTGTTGGAATTCAGCTACACACATGCTTTTTTATTATGGGCAGTAATCTTACACTGATCAAATATACTCATTGTAGTTGACAGAATTTTACTAAAATATTTAACTTTTTGGCACATAATACAAGAAAAATAATTTACTGATATCTTAGAACAGAGAAGCAGGTTTTCCGAACATTTTAATGAAAATCTTGGGGGAAGAATACAGTTTTGGAATGTTCATTAAAATGGAGGATATTTACAATATAAAGGTTCAGTTGTGTCTTACTTGTAGAATAAGATAAAGGTGAAAGGGGAAGCTTTCTGGGAAAGCATGGTAGGTTTGCCACCCTATTAGGGCTTTGGGGAAATTCTGAAGAGAAGGAACAGAATAAATTAATACTATCTAGTGCCTTATGACTATAGACTTATTTATTTGGAATAATCCCTTGTTGAAGCTTTTACTTTTAAGAGAGAACTGTAATGTTCTTTGAGGTTTCTTTGAGAATTCATCCTCAAAGACTCTGCCTTGCAGTGACTTTCCAGGCAAAACTGTTCCAAGCATCTGTCTTAAGAGTAGTGTCTGCAGTATTTTCAGGTACTACAGAACTAAGAACAAAACTTGTATTTCCCCAGGGAAATACGTTTTGTTGTTGGCACTAATTGTTAACCTTCAGTATACTTTTTAAAAATAAAAACGTGTAAGATGCTAAATCAGTATCTGAACTAATTAGCCTTTACTATGACAGTTAATCTGAAAAGCAATTTCTCACCCCTTCCATGCAAAATTCTGAGTTCATGGTTGCTTCCTCTGCTAAAACCTATACTAGTGCCAGGCATGCAGGAAAATGCGTCATACTTTGTTTTTAAGTGTTTGATGTCGTTAAGTGTTGCAGTATCCTGATTTCAGGCTCTTTCCAGGTAAGTAATGTGTTTACCTTCTTAAGGATTGTCAAGTTTTTCTTTTTTTTTTTTTTTTTTAAGTGGCATGAGATTCAGCAATGTATTTTGTTTGCTGTGAGCCAGAAGGGTGTTGAGGGTTCCATACTAGAGCTGGGGGGGAGGATGGTATATAAGGAGTTTGAAAACTTGAACACCCAGTTCCCTCTCTCTCCTGAGATTTAGGGGGGGTTCTGGAGTTAAAGATTTTCTTCTTACTCCAACTCCTTCAGTATCAGTGCACACTTACGATCAGGGTGAACGTGTTTAACTTCAGAAATGGATAATGTTTGACTTAGACGTTTGCTTATAGCAGAGTCAGTTAGATGTTGATGGATGTCACATATCCATGGGCCACTGAAGTGGCTGATAAACTCTGCTTTTCTTAATCCTTTTCTGTTTTGTTTTGTTTTTTCTCTGCCATCAGTAAGTAGAACAAAACTTCTTAGAATCATGCTGTCTAAACCTTAAAAAAAACAGCAGTTCATGGTTTGGGATTTTAGTAAATTAAATTTCACTTGGGCCAGTTTTGGCACTGGTATAGAGCACCATGTATAAAGGGTACAAGTGTGCTAGCACATCTGAAAGTGAAGCACACTATTGAAATGGTCTTGAAATCTGACCTTGTTCAGAGATGTAGGATTTTGGGCTAATAGAAACTGAGTAATAATCTGTTTTAAAGAGGAAAAATTTGCAATCCTTGAGGTATAAAACAAACAAACAAAAAAAGTGACTATTGAAATTGGTCATATTAAGCCTTGCAGCTTTGAAAGTATGTTTTTGTTTTTCATAAAAACAAAACTTCTTCTAACCTAGCTTTCTTTAAGAAGTAACTGTAAAGTGTCACTTTAAATATTTTCTGGCCTTTTCTACAAACAGCCACAGAAAACATCCAGTGAGATGCACTACTACTTGATCATTTTCACGATAAAGTAAAAAGCAATAGTACAAACATACAGGATTAGACTGCTGTATTCATAGTGAAAATTGGCATCTTAATGTGTTTTGACATTTGAATATAAAAATATTTTGCAGTGGACAACAGATGAAGACTTAACTGAAGCAGTGCATTCACTGGGAGTAAATGATATTTTGGAGATAAAATTTTTTGAAAACCGTGCTAATGGCCAGTCAAAGGGGTAAGAATTTGTAATCCACGTTTTCTGCTATTGGTCATTGATCTGCTACAGTGAGGGTGAGTGGTCTGTGTTTTCCGCAGCTAGCAATGAGATGTTTACTTTTGTTGGACAGCTAATATCTAGCAAGGGTTTTGTACCCTATTGTTCCACATTGACGACTAATTCAATCACAGATATAAGTTCTAAAGACAATACTATAGGTTTCACTACTCCCTGACTAGGATTGTGATATTGGCATTCCTTATACATTCATTTTCCTAAATTTCAGACTGTACTCTTAATTTTTTTAACCTCTCATCAGTGTGAAAGCCTTCTTATTCTATCTTTTGACAAATCTCTTTTTTAAAACTTGATTTGTTAGCCTTTTATTTCTCCATTTTCATTTTGCCCAGCTCTGCCAGTGCCTCTCAATCCCTACTAACAACACATCTCAGAATCCAGTAAATGGTTTTTTGTTTACTATAAATTGTCAATTGTGTGAGTTTTGTGATGTGGACAAACTGACTATTTCAATTGTGATTTAAACTATATTTGATTTAAGGTCTTCATGAATGCCAGGTTAACCGCCACCCCCCTTTTGTGTGTGTGTGTGTGTGTGTGTGTGTGTGTGTGAAACTAAACTAACATTCAGAGTGCAGCTTTGATTAATTTATAGTGAAAAGAAGAATCAGTTGCCTAATGCCAGTTTTATCAAATACAACTCAATGGTGGAAGATCATGTCCTTTGGTAAAATATTGATTTTTTTTAAATCCTTTTAAGCTTGACTAAATTTGATTTATCTTGTTATAGTCTAGTTTAGTTATCTAAAACCTAAAATAAGTTTCCTTAAGAAATCCTAATTTGTAGAGGAGGAAATATTCATTCTTTACCTTTGAGCTGCTTTGAAAGTCTCTATGAGAGAGACCGCTTTCCTTAATCCATTTGTTGAGTTTATTTCTGCAGTGATTCTTTCCTTAATGAGGCTTTTTAGTCACTAGAAATGTTTTCAAAAATTGGAAATTGAAGTAAAGGGTCTAAATTTTGTGGATATGCCAGCTAAACAGGTGCATACTGTATGGTTGAGCAGAAGAAAAGTTACTTTCCCATCTCCATCCTTTTCATGGGCATTTCAAATTGATTGGTGGGAAAATTGTAATTCTTAAGTTCATATTTACATTTAGCGTTCTTTTCTCATATCTTGAGAGTTTGCGTTATGATTTTTCAAGTATCTTTAAAACTCAATTAACCAAGTTTGTGGGGAGGATTTTTGTCAAATGTTCTTTTGCTTGCCATGTATTTATCCTTTCTCTGGAAGGCCATCAGATTTTTCTGGTGCAAGAAATTGATGCAGCTTTCCCTCCTTCTTTTTAGGTTTGCCCTTGTAGGTGTGGGATCTGAAGCATCCTCCAAAAAGTTGATGGATCTCTTGCCTAAAAGAGAATTGCATGGGCAAAATCCTGTTGTAACTCCATGCAATAAGCAGTTCCTGAGTCAGTTTGAAATGCAGTCAAGGAAAAGTAAGTCTTCTCTTCTTAGTTACGTTGTAACTTTAAAAAACAAAGGTCCATTTCAGAAAAGGTATTGCAGTGTGCACACATCCCATGATAACATGTATGGCTCCAAATAGTTATGAAATGTTTACGGTTAGGGAAACTTGTCAAAAGGTGTCTGGGACTAATACCTTTATGGATCTTTTCCCTATAGTTCTTTGAAAAATACTATGTGCGTGAAAGCATTCATACAACCAGATTGAACAAAATGAATACATTAACAACTTGGACATTTGCAGACAAATTGGACTAGATTCTGATATCTGACTGAGCTCTGCTTGTTGCAGGACCTGGAATGAGATGGATGTCACTGCTCTGTCCTTCGCACAGCAGTTGGGCCATGGCATAGCTTTGAGCTGCCTGAGGGCTAGTATAACTGGCTTCTGAATGCAGTGGGCCCAAGGTGCTCTTCCATAGCATGAAATACTTCTTTGTTCTAGCCAAACCCCTTTCCTCAGCTGAATTCCCTATGATGGAAAATGGGAAACAAGAAGGTTTGATGTGTGGCTGGCTATGCCAGTCTGATCACACCAGGGGAATTCTTGACTAAGTGAGCTTTGCTGGGGCTTTGTTCTGGTGGACCAATATAATGCAATCAGAGCAGGGGCATGATTTGACCCATTAAATCCACTTCACTCCTTTTGAAAGGAAGGAAATTATCAAGAAATAAAAACTGCACAATGGGAAACACAGTTTTACATGTAATAAAGAAATTTTAAAAAATCATCAATGAACTTCTGATGTGAATAAACATATTAATTAACTTTTTTGTATCATACTTTTTATTCAGATTCTATGCTTGGTTCCCTTCTCCACATGCAGGAAGAAAGGGAAAAAGGAACCAAGCATAGAAGCAGAATAAAAACAGCTATGATTCACTCCCTGGTCTTCTGGTCTGAACTTGCCTCTCCCTGGTGGCTGACAGCTCAAATCCGCTTGTGGCTCTGGCCCAGAGAATGGCTTCTGTTTTCTCTTCTCCTTTATTATGTAGCAGCGGAGTCCCTAAAAGAGTTAGTTAGGCAGGCGCCTCCATATTTCCAGGTCCTTTTGTAGGCTTCTAGGCTCTTTTTTTCCCTTCCCTTTTTATCTGTTTCGTGAAGAGCCTAGATATCTGTTGTAGAAGCAGCTAGACGTAAGAATAGCACCATGCGATCATCCACTTTTCTATCTGTGGACCCCTAGTTGTCTGCAGACTACATTTAGGAATCTTTGGTTTAGTGGCCTGAGCATGGGACAGGTGGTTAAGAGATTGAAATTCAGTTGCCAACTCTTCCACTGATTTGCTGAAAGAATTTGGACTAGTCACTTAACTTCTCTGTGACTGTTTCCCTATCTCTAAAATAGGGAGAAGGAGGCTTTATAAAGCACTTTGAGAACTGTGCATGCAAAATTCTATATAAATATGAAGGGTTAGTACTCAGCATTGTTGCAGTAACTATTGAAGAGCACACAGCAATGCTACCTCCTCACCCCCCAAAAAAACAAAACAAAAAATGAACTCGTTTGGTCACGAATTGGGGTGGGGGGGGGGAACCCTTCATGTTACGGAATGATAATATACTTTTGCTTCCCTATTGCAGCTACACAATCAGGCCAGATGTCTGGAGAAGGTAAAGCTGGTCCTCCAGGAGGTGGCTCACGTGCAGCGTTTCCACCAAATAACAGAGGACGAGGCCGTTTTCCAGGTGGCATTCCAGGTGGGGACAGATTCCCTGGACCTGCAGGACCAGGTGGACCACCACCTCCTTTCCCAGGTAAAGAAACTAAAACCTTTGTTTAATTTCCTAGCTTACCACTTTCAGTTTTTAATATAGCCAAATATTAATATAGCACACTTTCTAATTTGTTTTGGGAATTACAGAGACCCAGGCAATTGGACTTGTTTACAATAAGTCTTCACTTTGTCACTGGAATGTAGGATTCTATGGGAGCTCTGTTCAGCATAGGGGAATCCAACTTCTGATATCAAAGAAGTGTTTTCAGGCTCCAGAGAAGTAGGAGCATGAGTATAAACAAGCTTGATAACAATATTATAACAAAAATCCTTAAAGTGATAGATAATTTTATTTAGTGTCACAATGTATATTTTAAAACAATAGTTACACTGACTCACCACTCTGCGCAGGCTTGTCTTCGCTGATCTGTTAGTTCGATATCCAGTTAGCCTAGTTTGAGTGAGAGCAGTCACTGCAAAACAACACTCAAGCAGCAGAGAGTGATTGTATTAGCAGCACAGTTCAGCGGTATTCTTCTTCGAATGCCTGCTCGTGTGCTTTCCATGTTAGGTGAGTACACACTGCGTGCACCGTTGCCAGAGATCTTTCCCTTGGTGGTATCCTTCGGGCTGGCTCTAGCGCCCTCTGGAGCTGTGCGCTTATATGCCAGTATAAGGGGCACCGCTGCCACGCACCCTCTCAGTCCCTTCTTACCACTTGTGACGGTTGCTGGAACGACCCCTCTTGCTCCAGCAAGGCTTTCTTCCCTGTGGTTTTTGGATCATAGTTCAGTGCGTATATATAGTTTTTGTAATTAGTGTTCGTGTACATAGCGTAAATAAATATCTTCTGTCGTCAAGGGCCTCTTTTGTCCCAGGGGCTGGGCATGCCCCGTCCCTGGGCTTCAAGCCTTGTGCCTCCTGTGGCAAACCTATGTCTGTGAGTGACCTGAACTCCAGCTGCTTGAAGTGCTTGGGGGAGACTCATGTGAAGGACAATTGCCAGATTTGTCGGGACTTCAGACCCCACACTAAAAAACACGACAGAGACATTAGGTTGAAGGCTATCCTCATGGAAGTCGCTTTCAGACCAACCTCAGAGCAGAGCCGCTCCGATTCGGGCCAGGCACTTCGGCGTTGGTGCAAAACCCTCCCCCGAGCTCTTCCCGGCACCGTTCACCATCTCCAGTTCTGAGGAAGAAGGACTAAAAGCAGCTCTCTAACAGAGTGCAATCGGCGGTGCAGAAAAAATACAAGCAGGGAGAAGGCAGCACAGTGACATCTGTGCTGGGCCACTCTTCCACTCCTGGGCCTGTGCTGGCACTGTCAACTCTGCCTAGAGCGTTGAGTCCAGTGCAGGGCCTGACACCTGGAAGCCACCATAGTATCAGTGGTCTGACTGTTCCATTGACCCAGGAGGCGTTCCAAGTGGCTAGGGGCCTACTTTCTCGAACTCAGGCTCCTTCCCAACACCGTTCCCTCCCTGCACCTTCTAGGGGTAAGCTGTCCCTAATCCCGTCATCCTGATCACCTCCGGTCCGCTGCCGGTCCCAAGAATTCTGGCACCGCATCGAGGCAGAAGCAAGTACTGCTCCACCAGGGTCTCCAAGAGAAGACTCCTGAGTCTAAAGGGGAGCCTTACATGCAACCGAAAGCCCGCCACCGGTACCTTGCCTATGTGCCACTGGACTTCGGTGCCGGCACCTGGCCCGCGGGTCACTGGCTTATGCAATGGCCTTACTGGAACTGCTGGGGCTTTCCCTTGGTACCAGATCCTCCCTCCCATTGCTCTTACTCAGTGGTTTCTGAGAGACTGGCTACTGCTCCTTCCCACTTGGCACCAGACCCCGACTCCGGTACCGACATTCAGGAGATGGCTCCAGATGTAGTTGAAGAAGAGGAAGGAGCCCCTCCTCCGGTGCAAGCCTCCTTCTCCCCAGACAAGGTTGTCATGGGATCCTGTAGCCTGCTTCCGCAGGATGATTTCAGGACCCATCAGGACCTTCTGAAGTGGGTAGCTGCGAACCTGGGTCTTGAAATTGAGCAGGTCAAAGAGATATATCACAGCCTTATTGGTATCCTGGCTGCAGCAGCTCCCTTCAAGGTGGCCTTACCCATCAATGAAGTGGTGATGGGACTGGTCAAGGCCCTGTGGCAAACTCCTTCTCTGCCCCCCCACCTCAGAGGACAGAGAAAAAGTATTATGTGCCAGCGAGTGGGTTCAGATACTTGTATTTGCATCCCCCTCACCCCTGGTGGTGTCTGCAGCAAATGAGAGGGACAGACAAGGCCAGTCAAGTGCAACCCACAAACAAAAAGACGCTAAAAGACTGAACCTTTTCGGAAGAAAGATTTATTTGACGGGTAAACTTCAACTACATATCTCCAGCCAGCAAGCTTTGCTGGGGAGATACAGTTATAATCTATGGGACTCCTTGGCTAAGTTTAAGGAATCCCTGCCCCAAGATTCAAGGCAGGAGTTCACTGCTCTCATGGAGGAAGGTAGGAACATGGCCAGGACCTCTCTCCAGGTGGCTCTGGATGCTGCCGACTCGGCAGCCAGGACAATGGCCTCTGCTGTCACCATGAGACATTGTTCTTGACTCCAGTCCTCCAGGCTTCCTCACGAGGTCCAACAGTCTATTCAAGACCTTCCATTCACAAGCTTCTTTTTTCTAGGAGTTGTCTGATACGAGACTTCATGGCCTGAAGGACTCAAGGGCCACCCTATGATCCTTAGACCTTTACGTTCTGTCAGCTTCCAGGGAGCACTTCAGGCCCCAACAGCCGCGTCAGTTCTCAGTGCCTCCAAGACAAGAGCCCTACAAAAGAAAAGAGAGAGGTTATAAACTGTGCCAACCACTTCCGTCCACCTTCAGCCTCCCATTCGGATTTTCAGAGGTATTCCGGAGGGCTCAACCAAGCCTTTTAAAGGTGTGCCCAAGGGCGCTGTATCAGTCACCATTTCGGATCTTCTTCCCCTTTTTTGTTTTTGGACCATCTATCCCTCTTCAGCCTAGCATGGTCATACATAACATTGGACCGCTGGGTGCTGAGTACAGTGTCTGTTATACTCTTCAGTTTTTATCCACCCATCTCTCTCACCCTCCATCCCTGTCCCTCTTCAGGGACCCTTCTCATGAGCAACTCCTCGTCTAGGAGGTACAACCCCTCCTATGAATGGGGGTTGTGGAGGAGGTTTCACAAGACTTGAGAGGGAAGAGGTTTTACTCCTGGTATTTCCTAATCCCAAAGGCCAAGGGGGACCTCCGGCCCATCTTGGACCTGCATCGCCTCAACAGATATCTCAAGAAACTGAGGTTCTGCATGGTTTCTCTGGCCTCCATCATTCTCTCCCTGGATCCAGAAGACTGGTACACTGCCCTTGACTTAAAGAACGCATACTTTCACATTTCTATCTTCCATGTTCACAGAAGACTTATCAGGTTTATAGTGGGTCAACACCACTAACAATTGCCCTCCGGGTTTTCAAGAAGTGTATGGCGGTAGTAGCAGCCTTCTTCAGACAGTGAGGCTTCTTCAGACAGAAAGGTCTACCGGAACCTCAACAACTGGCTGATCGAGGGTCGGTTGCAGGCTCACATACAGAACATCATCAGGATGGTCTGAGCCACCTGGTCTCCTGATAAATGAGCAGAAGTCAACTTTTGTCGTGGTTCAGAGAATAGAATTTATTGGGGGCGGTTCTTGACTCAACCCAAGCCAGGGCCTTCTTGCCCAAACCTGATTCCAGACTATGTCAGACCTGATATCCAGTGTCATGGTCCACCCAATCATGACTGCTCGGGCTTGCCTCAAGGCCTTGTGGCAAACCCCTTCTCTGCCCCCCCCTCCCCCCACCTCAGGTATGGGACCACTGCTATGGGGGCACATGGCTGCATGTACTTACATGGTCCAGCATGGAAGGCTGCGTCTCAGACCCCTTCAGATGTGGCTAGCATCAGTATACTCCCCGAGCAGACACCACTTGGACTCAGTGCTCATGGTCCCTCTCGTGGTCCTTGTCTCCCTGGACTGGTGGAAATCGATAATGATGGGGGTACCCTTTGTTACCCCTCAACAGTTGGTAGCTTTAGTCTTGGACGTTTCAGACCTAGGGTGGGGAGCCCACCTCAACAACCTCAGAACTCAGGGCCTCTGGTCCCATGAAGAACTCTCCCTGCATATAAGCATCAGGGAGCTCAGGGCGGTATGCTTAGCATGCCAAGTGTTCCGTCCCCAGATCTCAGGTGAGATGCTGTAAGTCCTGACAGACAGTACTGTGGCTATGTTCTATATCAATAAACAGGGAGGGGCCAGATCTTTGGCCCTGTGTCAGGAGGCCATCTGTCTGTGGGACTTCTGCACGAAGCACTCTATTCATCTCGAGGTGTCACATCTCCCTGGAGAATGGAATGTACTTGCGGATCCCTTCAGCAGATCCTTTTTCTCTCACAAGTGGTCCCTTCACCCAGAGGTCATCAGCTTCATCTTCCAAAGGTGGGAGCTCCCCAGGTGGACCTGTCACTACCAGGCAGAACAGGAAGTGCCATCAATTTTGTTCCCTGGCACAGCCCCGGCTCCCTCTCCGACACTTTCCTGCTCCTGTGGATAGATCTCCTATTTTATGCCTTTCCCTCAATCCCCATGTCCCTCCTAAAAATCAAATGGGACAAGGTGAGAGTTATTCTGATAGTCCGGTGTGGCCACGTCAACACTGGTTTGGCATGCTCCTGGATCTGTCGGTAGCAACTCCACTCTCGCTCCCACTCCATCTGGACCTAATTTCAGAAAACCACGAACAGTTGCTTCATCCAAACCTCACCTCCCTGCACTGAACTGCATGGATGCTGCGTGGCTGAACCCAGAAGAACAAGCTTGCTTAGAACAGGTCCGGCAGATCTTGATAGATAGTAGAAAGCCTGCCACCAGGGCTACCTACCTGGCCAAGTGGAAGTGCTTCTCAATTTGGGCTTCTCAAGGTGTGCTCTCTCCATCTCAATCTTCCCTCCAGTCTGTCTTGGACTGTTTGTTCCACATAATGCAGCAGGACCTGGCCCTCTCATCTGTCAAGGTGCACTTAGCAGCCATCTCAGCCTTCTACCCTCCAGTGAACAGCAGATCATTGTTCTCCCACAAAATGACAGTACTGTTTCTCCAGGGGCTGGAGAGGCTCTGTCCTCAGCCCCAAACCACCACCACCCTTTTCCCCCCGGGATTTAAACCTGGTTCTGTCAAGACTCACGGTTCCCCCCTTTGCTTTTTTAGCATCATGCCCCCTGTTACTTCTCTCTTGGAAGGTCGCCTTACTGATAGCGATCACCTCGGCCAGAGGGATCTCTGAAATCAAGGCCTTTATGTCAGAACCGCCTTATGCTGTGTTCTTTAAGGAAAAAGTCCAACTGCGCTCCTATCCAATCTTCCTACCAAAGGTGGTGTCACAATTCCATAACAACCAAGCCATTTTCCTAACAGTCTTCATCCCGAAACTTCACAAGAACTCTGAGGAATGGCTGCTTCACTTGTTGGACGTTAGATGTGTCCTTGCCTTTTATGTTGAGAGGACTAAACCCTTCCTCAGGTCCACACAACTCTTTGTTGCAATAGTGGAAAGGATGAGAGGGCTTCCTGTGTCAGCTCAGAGGATCTCATCCTGTATAACCACCTGTATTTGGGCTTTCTCTGGCCACCTTAACCGCTCACTCCACAAGAGCCCAGGCTTCATAAGTAGTGTTTCTCGTGCAGGTCCCAATCCAGGACATCTGCAGAGCCGCAACCTGCTCGTCGATGCATACCTTCGCATCCCACTACACCATCACCCAATGGGCCTGAGACAATAGTAGTTTCAGAACAGCATTGTTGCAGTCAGTAAGTCCGTGAACTCCGAGCCCATTGCCTTGGATACTGCTTGTGAGTCATCTAACATGGAACGGACATGAGCGAGCACTCGAAGAAAAACCGGTTACTAACATTTCGTAACTGTTCTTCAAGATGTGTTGCTCATGTCCATTCCATGACCCACCCCCTTATTCCTCTGTTGGAGTTAACCTGCAAGAAGGAACTCAGAAGGGTGTGGCTGGTGGCACCCCTTATACCAGCGCATAAGCTCGCGGCTTTTGAGGACATTTTGAACCAGCCCAACGGATACCACTGCGGGAAAAATCTCTGGCACACACACACACCTAACATGGAATGGACATGAGCAACACATCTCAAAGAACAACAGTTACGAATGGTTCGTAACTGTTTTTTCCTATTGCATATTAGCTTGAACGTCACAGCACTTGAACTTTAACTCATGCCCTCTGACAGACCAGTTAGCTTGAGTTTAAATCACTTCTTCACTTGAGCTAGAGATTTTTGTGTGTGGACGGGAGCTGATACTGCAGTGAAGAGAAACCCCCTGTGTGTTGTGGGGCAAGTTTAAGTATCTCTAATAAGTATGGTCGTGCAGCAAAATGAGTTGTCTGTAACATTCAGATTTAAATGAACACTCAAACTGAAAATCATTAATTTAAAAAAGAACTGAAAGCAGATTTGGGTGCTACACCCAGCCTTAGTTTTCCTTAACAATACTTGTGGATTTACAATCACTTTTCTGTATTTAAATATATATATTTCCTTTTTCTGTGAAAGACCCCCACAAACAGCAAGGTTAAGCTGACTTAAATCTTTTCCAGTACTAGTAGCCTTTGGTGTTACTTGTATCAATAATAAGTGCCAGATTTCCAGACAGCAATATGATTTTAACAAGATATTAATGGTGTCCCTTTAAATGTTAATAGACAAGTACTTTTTTGAACTTTATCAAATGATAATTTGCTTTTTCCAAAGGTGGGAATGCATAATCTCTCATGCACATCAAAATTGTTCAGTGAGACTTGCAAAAGTTTGGTTAAAATCTAGTTATGGAAATAACTTTATTTTCCCATTTTTCTTTCAGCTGGACAAACTCCACCACGTCCACCTCTAGGTCCTCCTGGTCCCCCAGGCCCACCAGGTCCTCCACCTCCTGGTCAAGTTCTTCCACCTCCATTAGCTGGGCCTCCTAATCGTGGTGACCGTCCACCACCACCAGTTCTGTTTCCTGGACAACCCTTTGGTCAGCCTCCGCTGGGTCCACTTCCTCCTGGTCCTCCACCTCCAGTTCCAGGCTATGGCCCCCCTCCAGGTCCACCACCACCACAGCAAGGTCCACCTCCGCCTCCCGGCCCTTTCCCCCCTCGTCCGCCTGGTCCACTTGGGCCTCCCCTGACACTTGCTCCTCCTCCACATCTTCCTGGGCCACCTCCAGGTGCTCCCCCACCTGCTCCACACGTGAATCCAGCTTTCTTCCCCCCACCAGCCAATAGTGGCATACCTACTTCAGACAGTCGTGGTCCACCACCAACAGATCCATATGGCCGACCTCCGCCTTATGACAGGGGTGACTATGGTCCACCTGGCAGGTGAGTGCTTTTAGTGTAGTGTGCTTGGTAGCACGTTTATTCCATGTAGGAGGCATCAGATTCTCTTTGGCTTTTAAGTAGCTTCTTTTCCACTTTCTTCATTAAAACATCTGTCAGAATGTTTTTCTATGTGTGGAAGCATCCTCAGATGCAGTGTCCTTCTCCTCTTTTTCCCCCTTCAACTCAGACCTTTGTCTGCCTTCACTTTTTGTAATCTTGGTGTCATTATTGACCTTCTCCAACATTTTCTATTTCTATCTGGCACTACCTCTGCAATGGTTTATTTATGCTTTTGCCTCAGCTATACCTCTAGAAATCTTCACCTTCATCTTCTCTTTCTCTGTTTGGCAACTGTCTTCTCATGGCCTTCCCAAGTCCCAGGTCTGCAGACTCCATCCTATGCAAAATGCTGCTGTCCTTTTTCTTAACATTTATATAGATCAGTATTTGTAAGTACAGTATAGTACAAAGAACCATGACTACATCACTCTCATCTTCATGCAATGCCACTGGCCCCCATTTTTGTCAGGATTGGAATCCTTGTCACAGAAACCCTCCATGGATTTTCTCCGCCTCTGGGACTTTTAACTTCCTTCCTCTCCCACCTCCATCTGCTTATTTAGTACCAATCTTTCTATAGTTGGTGCAAAGTCCTTCTCTGCAACTCCTGCTATCTGGAACAGCCTTCCTGATTCTCAAATCTTATCTGTAATATCTCTTCTCCTTTGCCTATACCATGGTTTCTCAAACTGGGGGTCGGGACCCCTCATGGTGTCGTAAGGATATTACCTGTCAGTCTCCACCCCCAAGCCTCGCTTTTCCTCCAGCATTTATAATGGTGTTAAATTAAAAACACTTTTTTATATGTTTATTAGGGTGGTCGCATTCAGAGGCTTGCTGTGTGAAAGGGGTCACCAGTACAAAAGTTTGAGAACCACTGGCCTATCCTCTTAGTTTCTTTATACCTTCACTGTTTTTTATTATCCATTGTATTTGTGTTAAACTCTGTAAAGCATTTGGGGACAGTATGTAAGAAAGGCACTGTATAAAATGAAGTTTTATTGTATTTACATATAGATCTTATGAGTTACATTGGTCATACTTCCAGTGTGAGGAAGACATGCATATTCTGTCCTTTAATATTAATTTTATTTTTTCTGTTTCTGTTTGGACATTGGTTCTGGTTCTTCCAATTATGGAATTCATAAGTAAAAATCAATTATTTATAAATGTAATGTTCATATAGAAATTGTATGGAAATTTAGAGCATTTGGCATAATTATCTTGTATATAATCATAATAAACACCAGGTCTTTTCTGGTAACCAAGATTGAGGTTGTCCACAGTTCGTAGAAGGATGGGGGAGGAAAGGGGTGGGAGAACAGGACAGAACCACTGCACTTGCTGTCCAATATTTTCATTATCATAATTTCAAAATTACAATCCATAACTATTTAAATTGTCATTAATTATATATCATAGGCGTTTCACTGGAAATAACATGTCCATAAGAGAACAATTACATATTCCATTGTATTGGAGGCATACGAAAAATAATACTCAAAACTCAGGGAGGTATGAATTTTTAGACATTTCCTCTTATGCTAAACTGGCTATAGGATCTTGTTCCACTTCTTGCTCTTAAGAGGATAGCATTGCTTATCATTCTGCATTTTCTTTCTACCAGAATAACTAACACTATTTTAGTAATAATATCCAGCAGTGAGCCCGTTTAACAGTCTCATTAACATCATCCTCCAGATATTCTATATAACAGAGACTGGCTGATAGAACACTGCAGAATTGGATGGGAAATTTTTTATCCCCATTTTGTATAGGTTAATTTCCATTTCTGTGGAAACCAAATACACATGATCAATAAAATATTATTTACAGCATTCAGCGAGAATACAAGAATTCCCTTTTACAACCCTAAGTGTAAGCTTGACACTTTCTCCTTAAGATTTCTTGTTAAAACAGTAAATTGGAGCACCCTTGAACTTGACCCGCAAAATATTGGAAATTAAAGCAGAAATAAAATCTTTGAAATGTTATTCAGGAGGTGGAGCATTAATAATGCTAGACCATATTTACTTCATCTGCTGCATAACTTAAAGTCCTGATGTGATAGTTAGAGCAGGGGACTAGAAGCCAGGAATTTGAGTTCTAATCCCATTTTGATATCAATTCCATCTCTGTGGGCAAATCGCCTGACTCCCCTGCCTCAGTTTCCCCATCTATACAATAGGGATAATACCTGCTGGTGTTATAGGGATGTTGTGAAGATTAGTTAAAATTTTGTAAAGCATTTTGAAGATGGAAAGCACAATATAACTGCTTCTAAATCTTCAATATAAATGGATGATCAAAGATAGCTTAAGCACATTTATACAGCAGATGTTTTAATGGTATTGTACTTTTTTTTGCCTGCAAGTTTTGTACCATAAAACTTTTTTAAAAACAAAAACAAAAAACCCAAAAACCTGCTTTCTGTCCTGTTTGTCACTTTGCTTAAAGTTGCAAACTTGAGTTGTTGATAACTGCAATGCTATCTTCACAAGCTTTGGGTTACTTTTTTAAACTTTAGTTTTATTAATTGCAGAGAAATGGATGCAGCAAGAACACCTTTAAGTGAAGCAGAGTTTGAAGAAATCATGAATAGAAATAGGGCCATCTCAAGCAGTGCCATTTCAAGAGCTGTGTCAGATGCCAGTGCTGGTCAGTAAATCTTCAGTGTCCCTCCTGTTCCATCCCACTAAAAGCAATTTTATATAATTTCCCCATGGGAATCTTGGAGATGTGAAGCCACTTTGATTTGATTTTTTTTTTTTTTTTTTTAAACACAGAGTGCCATCCTGATTGTAGATATTTCTTGTGACTGACTTGAACTATACTCAAATTAGATTTATATGGACACTTGCTGGGTACAAACATAGACCATGTTTTTAATAGCTGGTCCACAGAAGTGGCTTCAATGGCTGTTGCAGAGAAGACCAGCTGCCAAAGGATAATAGTTTTACAGATAGATTTTTATTACATTTTAATCTCGTTAACATCAAATTTACTTTCTTCTTTTCAGGGGACTATGGAAGTGCTATAGAGACCTTAGTAACTGCTATTTCCTTAATTAAACAATCCAAAGTATCTGCTGATGATCGTTGTAAAGTACTTATTAGCTCTCTGCAGGATTGCCTTCATGGAATTGAGTCTAAGTCTTACGGTTCTGGATCAAGGTAAAGCTTTCCTGTTTCATTCACTAGCTGCACTCTAAATAAACAAGACCTATAAAGGATAGGAGAAAGGTGTTTTATCCTCATTTTACGGCTGGGGAACTGAGGCACAGAGTAATTAAGTGACTTGCCTAAAGTCACACAGGAAGTCTGTGGTAGAGCTAGAAATTGATCCTAGATCTCCTGAAACCCAGTTGATTGTCCTAAACAAGGCCATCCTTCCTCCCCAAACTGACCTCTGTAGCCTCATATTAAATGTAATTTTAATTAGAATTATATTTCTTTACATGTTGCAATAATAACATGTAAACATCAAAACAAAATTAATTACAAACTTGTGAACAGATTGATATATAATCATGATTATGAATGTAGTTATTAAAATTACTTCTAAATTATACAAAATCAGTTTTCATTTTTATGGTAGTTATCTGTATTCTTGTCTAGATAATTTTAAATGGCAAGAAAATTGGATAATGTTCTTCTGTTATCATTATAATTATGTGTTAAGGCTACTAAGAGAAGACATGAGGGAGAAAGGCAGATTGAAGTCCATCAGGCTTCACCCAATACTAACCAGATATTCATATTTCTTCTAGAATTAACTCCATATGGAATTTGGACAGATACTCAGTTTGTAGTCAGTCCAGATACTGTACTAATAGTGTAACTTACTGATCTTCATATTCAAACAAATGCAATACCACTGTCTCCACAAATTTTCAATACCTAAAATGGCTGCCACACTTGCAGCAGCCATTTTAGGTTGGATACATTCCCAAGAGCAGCTGTCTTGTCATCCTCTCCTCAGTTTTTTCTACCTCCTTCCTTTCTCCTTTCAGTCCCCAATAGTAACACATCTCCTCAAATGGTAAGAACAGGAAATAGAAAGTATTGTCCTGGATCTGCTGCTGGAATCCTCAAAAGTGAAGAAGAAATGGGTTAATTTGGAAAAGTGGGAGTAGGATACATATTCAGTATTCTCTGAATACCAAGGCTGCACTATTAAGTATTTGGTGGCTGCCTGAAATAAAAAAACAGATTCACCCCTTCTGTGCACTATACACATATGCATCTCTGTATCAAAATAAACATGTCCTTTTTTTTTTTTTTCCTCAACATTCTTGTTTGAGCATTTTCATTTTATTAAACAGGCAGAACTTAACACATCTTAATTTTCTGGTGTTGTGTGTGTATTTTCAGTAAAAACTAATGAAGTACTTTCTTTTAGAAGACGTGAACGGTCAAGAGAGAGGGACCACAGCAGGTCAAGAGAAAAAAGCAGGCGTCACAAGTCCCGTAGCAGAGATCGCCATGATGACTATTACCGGGAAAGAAGCCGTGAACGAGAGAGACATCGTGATCGTGACAGAGATCGTGATAGAGAACGTGACAGAGAACGAGAGTATCGCCATCGTTAGAGAAGGTGGGCATTTCAGTTTTATGTTGTGTAGGGTTGATGGGTACTTGAATTAACAGTAACTACTTTGGCTTTGGGATTATTTATACAGTAAATATGTACACTTAAGTGTGGTCCAGCAATATGTATTGAATCCTTTCCTTCTTGTAGAATCTGAAGAGAACTTTGGTAAGTAATGACAGGTAACTATCTTGACTTGATGTGGGTTTTTTTCTTTTGCTAATTGCATGAATATGTAATTTCTGTGGTGTGGTGTCAATCTTTTTCAGTTTTTATGGATGGGAGGATTAAATATGTTACTGAAAAGGCAGTAGTAAATCAGACTAATCAAAAGGAGTCTGTTCTTGCTTCTCTAAACTCTGAAGATTAGGATACTCACAACTCTTAATCACATTTTGCAGTTTCATTTAAAGATTTAGAAATGTTTAAATTGTGATTATTTCATTGTAGGCAGTACTTGCATATATAAAATCCGAAGGCCTAAGTCCTACAGAGCTAGCTAAGTTGTTATACAGGTGAATTTTCTGTTGGTTGCAATGAAGGTTTTGCTCAAGTAAGGACTGAAACAGGATGTGGCTCTTTCTTTTATAAAATGTGACCTCTTAATATTTCCTGGTCCGTGAACTAAATTCAGGTGTTGTCCCCTTTCAGTTTTCTGTGCTGCACAATTGGTGATAGAATTTCTGCCTATAATCTAAATATTGGTGAACAAATGTACAACACCGGGAATGGTTTTTTTTGGTTATTTTACACTCACTAAATGCTTCAGACATCCGTAGTCCTTTTATGGATTAAACTTTATTTAAAAAAAACAACAACCAACCAACTATGTAATTAGCTGTAGAGTAGCACTTTGGGTAGACACTTAAAGAACTCTGGCTAGCCACTGAAAAAATGTAAGTGTAAATATGCAATGAATATGTAACTTAGTTATATACACAGTTTGAGGATCTCGAATTGAAATTGCTTGAAATTGACAATTGAAACCAAAACCTCTCTGTATTTGTCATTTGGAAGTCATAATCTTTTCCTATCCTTGCGTATTTAGAACAGTTCTTTAATATACTGTGTTAAAAGTCACACTCGGAAGAAATGTCTCCTGACAGTACTTTATTACAAATTTGAGAAACGAAGTTTTAATGTGGCATTTAGTCATAGAAATTCATTTAAAAGACATTAATATAGTTGGAGCAAAACTATTCTGAGAATCATGAAAATCTTAGTGAGCCTTAAGTAAAAGGAGTTATATAAGCCATTTAAAGTGAATGTCAGTTTTTCTTGGCATGCCTTGTAGCATTTCTATGCACTAGAGACACAAGTCTGACCTTAAAACATCTGATCCCACTTAATATTGGGACAATATGTATTGTCCTTGGTTCATGCGTTCCTTAGTGGCTGATCCATACAGTAATGGCCTATGGAAGGGGAATCAGAGGCTGAAAAGAGGCAGCTGAAGTGAAGTTGGCAGTCTTAATATACCTTAATTGCTTAAGTGACAGTGGTCACGGTTTTACTTTGTACAGTGTACTATTTTAGTACAAACATTCCTGGAATTGTAAAAAAAAAATTATTCACCATGGTTGCTAAGCATAAAATGTCAGAACAAAAAGTTTCAAATTTACATGATTGAATGTGGTTTCTTTCACTAAAGCGGATTTTCCTTAGCTACCACAAATTTGTTTTTAAATGTACAGTAGAACCTCAGAGTTATGAACACCTCAGGAATGGAGGTTGTTCATAACTCTGAACAAAACATTGTGGTGGTTGTTCCAGGAATTTACAACTGATCACTGAGTTAATACAGCTTTGAAACTTTACTATGCAGAAAAAAAATGCTGCTTTCTCTTTATTTTTTTAGTAGTTTTCGTTTAACACAATACTGTATTGTATTTGCTGGTGCTTCTTTTTTTTTGTGGTCTCTGCTGCTGTCTCTGGTACTTCTGGTTCCAAATAAACTGTGTGGTTATCTGGTCAGTTCGTAACTCTGAGGTTCTGCTGTATTTAAGTGCTACATGTAGGTAGTATTGTGTAGGAGGTAACCCAGTTGAGCTGAATGATAGTTGCATTTCCAAGGCTTTCACTTCTTCAGTGGAAGATGAGTAAATGATATTAAATACTGTTAATTTGAAGTTTCCTAAATAAAAATTAAGATGGGAAGTTACTTTGGATGCACTTGATTATTGAAGTTTTATATTTTCATGCATTCAGACCAGGTGTCTGTATCGTGGAACTTCTATACTAAGTATAGATATATTTTCTCCCACAAAGTGTCTGAGGGAACATGGTTGCATTTAGTACTTACCATAACACTGTTTTATTTATTTATTTATATGCTCACACATTTTAAGCATGATGTGTGAGATTATCTGAATTATTATTGATTCAACTCTGAGTACACATGGATTTACATATGCAACCTCCCTTTAAATTTGTGTGTTGTGCACCAGGACTTTCATTAGAATTAAGAGGAGTTGAGTAGATATATTCCCCTTCATCAAGAGGAAAATAGACTGCAATAACTTTATTTAAAGGACAGATTTAGTGAACTACATGCAAATGAGAAGTTGGTATTTTAAAAGATAAATTGTAAACAGTTTGTCTTGTTGTCTTTTTAAAGAAGGGCTTAATTTTTGTAGTTTTTAAGTACTTAATTTCAGTAATCTTCTGGTGTGTGTTTCATTTTCACCAGAATATATGTTTTTATACTTTTTTGGGGGGGCGGAGAGGGTTTGCATTAGATTTGTTTATGAACAGTAACCAAAGGTTCCCAGACACTTACTGAAATAATAGAAATACTGAGAGGAACATCACCCTTTCTGCCAGTGTTTTACCAGATAATGCGAGTTTGTCTGTGCCTAAAAGATATGAATGACAGTGGTTTTCCTCTCTTTATTCCCATGTAAATTTAGTAGTGCTGTGATACTCTACTGGCATATTTTAACAAAAATGTTAAACATGCTCATTTTAGAAGGGTTTTAAAAGTTCATTGTAAAGTTTTGTATGCTGTGAAACATTAATCAGTTTTTATTACTCATTTTGTCATTTGTATCTACTTGCATTCATGTAGCTGGATTAAATTTGAATAATTAATAAATGTTTTATACAATTTTATTGAAAAAAAAATCAAATGTACCATATCAAATTTTCACACTTCTGTTTGTACATTTAGAGATCAAAAACTAAGTTGTCAAGTTGACTTATGCGCTTTCAGTTGGGCAATTGATCCTTAAGTGCATTGCCAGTGTAATCTTGGCAAATAGTTACTTAATTTGAATGTTTTCCTGAAGTCTGTAACTTTTGCTAGCGTAGTGGTATAATTATTAATGTAAAAGTGCAGAACGTGTGGTTGATTTTTTTTAAAAAAGTGAAATTTTCTGATGTAAAGTAATCTAGAAAATCAAGAACCTATGTGTTAATAATCAGAGGAATCTGATTTAGAGGAGGAGTAACACCAAAATGAACATGTACAAACAGAAAAGTAATGTAACTTCATCAACATTAGCCCCTGATTTTTAGAAAGGTTTTAGTTTAACTGGTGGTTCAATTATGTATTTCAGCTATTACTGTCCCATCTTAATCTCACTGTCTGGATTTTAATAACTTCTGAATGTTACACATTATTTCATTTTATGTTTTTGTTATTTGGATAGCTGTTTTCTAATTGTATAATTTTTTTGCACAATTAAACTGAATTTGGAATGAACTGCAAAGAGAAAAGTACACGAACATTGTAATATTCAATATGTATGTAGACTTTGTGCTCCATTTTTCATAACTTATTTCTCTTCCTGTTCTCAGACCACTGTAAGCAAAATCCTTAAGCCTTCTAGTGTACTTCTGGAGTATACAGTCCCAAAATAAAGTACTTGTGTCCATCTGTAGTAAAATAATCTTGAGCAGGGGTTCTCAAACTTCATTGTACCGCAATCCCCTTCTGACAACAAAAATTATTACATGACCCAGGAGGGAGACCAAAGCCTGAGCCTACCACCACGGGCAGAGAGGCCAAAGCCCAAGGGCTTCAGGCCCAGGTGGGGGCCTGTAACCTGAGCCCCACTACCCAGGGCTGAAGCCCTTGGGCTTTGGCTTTGGCCCTGGGTGGTGGGGCCTGGGTTTTGGCCTTGGGCCCCAGCAAGTCTAATGCCAGCCCTGGCGACCCCATTAAAAAGGGGTTGTGACCCACTTTGGGGTCCCGACCCACAGTTTGAGAACCGCTGATCTTGAGTATTAGTGTCGCTTAAAAAAAAGAAAAAGAAATCACACAACTTGTCCTTTCTGTGTCTGTAGAAGAATATTGTACTTGATAATACATTGTTACAGGTAGATTCCTGTTTTCCATGGAAAATAAAGTTGAATGCTCATAAGACTGACAAGCACTTCACTTGTTAAATGTCAGATAAATGAGCCTGTTTTTTGAGAACTTGCAATTAATGGAAAAATGTTTATTTTGCAGATAGTTTTATTATTAAAACGAGTAACTATTAGCGTATCTCAAATAAACAATACAGTAGTACTGTTCAATGCCTAACTGTACTAAGCAATTTGGCATTGTTTCAGTGATAGTTAATTTTGGAGATATTGCTACCATTTTTCTCAGATACACCTAGTCTCTGATTTTAAAAAATATTGTACTTGGGGAAACATGATGTTAATTTGGAAACTGAAAAAGATGGCAACAGCTATAGAATGTGCAATATTATGTCTTTCTCTTTCGTTGTACTATGAAAACTCTTTACTTCTGTCAAATTAATAGGCCATTTTTTGTAGAGCTAGCATTCCTCATAAGAGGTATCATGCTTTCTGTACATTTGGTTGAATTCATGAAACTCATTCTGGAGGAGACAGTGTAAAAGAGAAGCTGTACCTCAGTGGTATGCTCTTCCTTTTTTGCTGTATAAAATTTATTTTGTATTATTTGCAACTGCCTCAATGCTTTATGGGAGCAGATAGTCTATCATTTAAAAGTTTTACAGAGCCTTTGAACAATTTCTGCACTTTCATCATCTCCTTCGGGGGTGCTCTGATAAAATCCATGTTTTTTTTTTTTTTTTTTTTTTTTTTTTTTCTAATATCTTGCCTTTTAACTCTTTTCAAATGTATAATTGTATACCGTTTCTTAATCCTATTGGCATCTGATATCTTTTTTGTCTGCACACATTACTGTAATTTTCCTGCCAATCTTATGTTGCCTACTAATGGGCCTGGGATTCATTATATTTCCATCTTCCCTACACCTTGCATTCTCTCTTTTTCCCTAAGTTGTACAGTCAATATCTATGACTGAAATTTGCACTGTGAAGCAGTTCCACAAGAAATGTATCTTTAAGGTGGCTGCTTTACATTTGAAAACTGTCAAAGGATTGGCTGGATACAGTATTGTCCAATGAATGAATAAATTGGGTTAGGTTTTATCCTTTTGCTTACTGTGGTTTGAGAACTAAGTTGTTTGTTTAAAAAAAATCCAACATATTTCCCTTTTTACGTTTCTCTGTGGCAGCTTGATCTGCCTTTCTGTGTCTTCCTCATACCTGAATGTGAAAGATACTTGCCTAACAGCTTTTTAATTTGTAAACTAAAACCTAGTTTCTTCTTTTCAAAGAGAGAAATTGCATTTAATTTTTTAAATGAATCCTTATGAAAATTTTCTGTATTCTGTAAAAGGGTATATATTTCAGTATATTGATGTCATATATTTAGTAGTCTGTTTTATTATAGGTAAAACACAGCAACATTAAAAATCTAATTTGTTAGGCAAATTGGTTAGAAAATGCAAATCTCTCTGCTGAACACATTTATGAACTAAGTTACCAGTTATTTTCAAAGAATAGACAATCTGGGATAATAGAAAAGGTTTAAAGTGACATGAAACTGGAGTTTGGGAATATATTTTCCTTTCATAATAGTTATTTTTGTGGGGTAGGGGTGGTTTTGGTGTCAACCTTAAAGTGTACATTAAGGTAGAACAAAAGTGTAAGGTAAGTACAGTAGTAATAGGTGAAGCATAATATGTAAAAGGGTAGTGAAAGTAGTGAAAGAATAGTAGCATTTACACTAATGATAAACAGAGCTGAATTCATACAAAGTCTTCTGACTTAAATACAGAAGAGCAAATGAATTTAGAGTCATGGTTGAAACTGTTCTCTGCTCACCCTGTCGCAGATAAGTGTTACTGAAAAATATAATCACACTTTTGGAAGGTATGTAATAATATGGACACTAGGTTGAGTTGAGGAATGAATTTCAGCCTTGAAACTGAATTTTTGTAAGATTTGACCTTTGTGTGTTAATTAATGATTTTGTTTGTGTATAAAATAAGATAAAAGGAGAATTTTATTGCAGTACATGAACACGTTAGGAACTATTAGTATGTGGAATAAATCTGTATTTTTACCTCTTCTCTCTCCGCCCCCAAATGTGAATATACGGTGATAGACTGTAACTGTTCCTTGAAATGGATACGTTTGTTTAGGGTATTGCATTTATTTAAAGGGCATATGCACATTAAATATAACAATAGAAGAGAGTTGTCAGACTTTCATTTCATAGCTGTTAAAATACTTATATGGGACATGCAGAGGTTTAAAAAAAAAAATTAAAGCTGCAATTAAAAGCCCAAAAAAAAAAAAAAAAAAAAGACCTCTTGAGCCACATTAAAAAAAGTATATTAGAAAATGAAGATAATCTCACTCTGTATATGAAAAACAAAAAAATGCCCAACACTGGCAAATTAAATCATTACATAAATATACCTTAAGAGGTGAGCAAAGTGTTTGAGATTACTTTTAGGTGATGTGGGGGACATAGACCAAGACCAAAAGTTTTAGCCTAAAGCAGGCTATTCTACAAGTAAGATATTTAAAATGTGAGGGGGAAAAAATCAGTTTTATTAACAGGAACACTGGAAAACTCCTTATTGTATGGAAATAAGCAGTTCTTAGACAAAGAAAGAAGTGGTATTGCCAAAAGGCGTTGACTAAAAAAAAAATTTCAGTATGTAACCTTTTGCATTTTATCCTTTTTATAAGCTGTTTTGTACTTCAGTTTTCTACAAAGTAGAATGTTGAAAACGTTAATGCATACAGATTTATTTCCTACTATAGGAAGCATTAAATCTAAGTTGGCAAATTAGCCAGAATATGTTGACAGGTTTTTTTTTTTTTTAATGAGAATTTATACCAGTTTGGGGAATTTTAGTGTTTTATGTTTTGTAATTTATAATTTAGCTTCAGTATAATCTTGCCAGTCTCTTAAAATCTGCATAGTGCCCTAAATTAAAAAGTGGTGATCCCGTACAGGTTCTTCAAAAGTACCTGTGATTCTTTATGAACTCTAGAAAATATAGCAAACTCTCCCGTTGGACTCAAACTTTTTATGCTGGTATTGTAAATCAAATGGATGCTTTTGGATCTGTTAACTGTCACTGTAGCAGTGCTGAAAGATCCACTATTTCTGCACAGCACTGTATTGCAAGAGCAGCAAATTCTGACATGCAGTCTCGCAGCTGTCATTTATTTATTTGCTCCTCTGAAACATTGAGATCCCATGTTTGCATTAATAACTTGGCTTTCAATTGCAAATGTTTGTTTTGCATGCAGGTGACACTTTAGTACTACTTTGCTATTGAAAAATCGAGTTTTAAAAGCAGCTGTGGGGATCTGGTCTCTTTTGGAGGAGAGAATCCCCAAAGGAAGTCACTAGTCAATACATTTGTCACTTGATAGCAAACTTCATGAATTTGAAAAGGTCTTCCAGGCACTAGTTCAAATTTTAGTGATTCTGCTGTATGCAGACTGTAGTATATAGGTAATATACTCTTCTGTTTATTTTTTTTTTTTTAAATCAAACATTACCAGTCATTGTGGGGGAAGGAAGGACAACTAATTATCTATCATCCATACAATACAAGTTTGCTTCCTAATTATCTTAAACCATTTTAGTAGTACAAGAATCCTTATGACAGCTGTGCATTGGTGTGTGTTCATGAAATTGCTTCTCTAAATGTCTGATTTTTTTAAAATGACCGGGTAATGTGTTTGGTTCTTTTAAGCAACTTGATTTAAATTCTTATGAAGTTGTTGAATGTAGAAATTGTGACCTATTGATAACGTACAGTTAACTAGTTGTGTTTTGTAATGGAATTTAAATAAAGCATCAGTGAATGGAATTATACCATCCAAGTATTATGTGAGCTCTACAATTATATTTAAATGAGTTGTTGTGATTCCTTTATTAGATACATTGGTTGCTGAAATAATTAGTCTAACTAGGATGTAGGGTGTTTTGTTTTTGTTTTGTTTTTGTGTGGGGAAACCTGAATTCTCATCTGTATTGTATTTTTTTAAACAAAGTGGGTTTTTGTAATTTTGTGACAGTACTTTTTTTTTAAATCCGGAGCCCCTATTAATTTTAGTTTCCAAATTTTGTAACATTGGCATCAAGCTGATAAATTGCAGAAAATATTGTGCACTGTTAAATATATTACTAATCTGTAAAACACCCACTTCATTAAACATTTAGTGCAGTATTTAATTGTGAAAGAACCAGTTTAGAATTGCTGTAAATGGGTGGGTAAAAATGTAAAGAACAAATCTGGTTGTAGCATCATCATCCAAGTACTTTTCTTATTGACTCTTGCAGTATGAATACTTCAGGAAATGTTCTATATAAATGTTTCCATCGTTCACAGAAACAGTAGCTATTTGTTTCTTGTGGTTTGGTATATTACTTGTTAAATTGCATTTTTTCAACTTTCTTGTATAACTATTAACATTTAGTAAAAATAGATTTTATAGAACAATTACACTTTGAGAATTTTCAGACAAACAAGTAGCTACTGCTTCAATATCTTTTATTTGTCTTAGATTACATTATGGTGAAGTAGGTGCACGACTTGTGTATGTATAGTTAAGCCAACATTTTTCTGTGTGTTATGGGGACTAGCAAAATCTACATCACAAATTTTGACACATTACAGCTGAAGGAAGAGGAACACCTTGCAAAGACAAGAAACATTCTTCATGGAAAGATGCTTGTCCAGCGGTTTGCTTCTTATGATTGAACTGAGCCTGTAAGGATTCATGGATAAAATGAACAGGAATAGATCTGAATAAAGCAAATCTGCATACATGGTAACCAGTAGCTCTTTTACTTTTTTATGTTGCTTAACTGTTTTATTTGAGGGAAACCTGTGTGATTTAAAACTTATAGCTTTTGCAACTTTATTACTGGTTATATACATTTGGCAACTATAATGTGCAAGCAATTGGAAAAAAAGTCAAGTAAATCCTTGTTTTTATAGTAGTTTGTTCTTGTTAAAAATGTTCATATGATAATGTCTGTACACAGCACCACTTTGATTACAGTAGATGTAGTGTTGTAATAAACTCTTTAATGGGGCTGATGTGTAAAGCTGTTCAAGTTATTTGATGTTTACACCTCAGGGAAAGTCTTGTGTTCAGCAATATTTAAAGATAATGATTCTATGAAAACATTTATACTGTCTTTAAAAAAGCATTGCAATAGAGTTTTTGCATATGCATCAACCTAATCTTGCGTTCAGTGACTTAAAAATACTAATGCCACTCTTTCACACTTGATTTTGATATACAAATAGGTGATTACACAAAGGCTTTAATAATTTGCTTTTCCAGCAATTTTTACATAGATGGCCTGTGAATTTGCTGAAAGGCATGTAAAATTGTAAAAACTGCAGTTTGATTGACATTCTGTGATCCACATAGTCTGTCATTGTTTTGGGGAGAGGAAATCCTAGGTTGATGATTTTAGTAAACTGAAAACTGTCTCCTACAACATGCAGCTGGACTAAGACACTACAGTTTACATTATTTTCATTTAAACTCTTAATGTTGGGAAAATGCTGGCCTTTTTGAAATACAGCTGCAGTTGTTTACGGTTTTATGTTAATAATGCTTGTGTTTGTTTAGGTTTTTCCAAGGCCATAGGCAGTCTGTACATAGCTGTATATTAGAAAAATGTGACCGATGAAACCAGTCATGATGTTTCCACTTTTTCAGATAATATGGATTCCAGTGGGCTTGGTATTTCCTTAAAACTGGGGTTTATCCACACATCTGTGTAAAAGGGGGATGGTATGCTTGTACATTCCTTGTGCACTGGTGGGGAATACTTTATTGCCTTAACAAAAAGTGAAATAGATTTAGTCATGAGGTTTTGCAAACTTGTCTAAAAACAATTTATTGGAAGTTGGAATTCAAACATTTTAATATCAGAGTATGAACTAAAGAATGAAAGTAAATTTCAAATGACTAGAATTTGTTCTAAATTTTATGAAGGATAAAAATTAGAATAATAGGAAGTATGTATAACACTTGGCAAATTTACAATTTGCTTTTGCAGACTGGTGTGGATGTTCATTCTTAAAATATATTTTGAGTCACTTTAATAGATTAGTCTGAGAAGTTTTCACTTCTTATACAGATAGCTTGCAGAGCATGTTTTAATGTTTTAAGCTAAGTTTCAAGACCTCAGTGGCTTCAAAAGGTAATCTTTAAAACAAATCATTGGTTTGTTTTATAACTTAATTTTATGTTAAATATTAAGGCCCTATTCAGGAAAACACATGCTTATGTGCTTTATTGAACTGGGGCCTATATCCTGTGCAACTGCAGAAGCGTTCTATATAATACTGAGACTCTTAATTTAATTTTTGTCATCTACCATCACGCTAGATTTTCTGCAGATAGGCTGATAATATTGGACTTGCCCACATGCCTCTGCACATTTTTATTTCTTAAATTCTGTACCTCAGGTCCTCATGCATGGGATTATTGGTGTTCTTGCTTTTGACTTTCAGATGTTTAACCCTGTTTAAAAATGAAAACTGACTTTTAAAACTTTGTATACTAAACATTGTATCAAACAAGTCACATGACTTTTTTCCTGTTTTTGTGAATAGGTGTTGGTTTTAACTAGTTCTGATGTAACTTCATAGCTTTCTTAACAAACATTGTTTATTTTCTGTTACTTGTAATAAGTTTAAGGGAAGAGAGAACCTGCATATGCCTATTACATGGGAAATAGCTAATACCGAAGGGTCAGCAGGTAAGTAATGTGTCCACATGGCTAGAAAGCTTAAACCCAGAAAAGAAGTATTTTTTAATTTCATGACTAAAATTAAAAAAATTTAAGCAGGAACCAAGATTTTGTTCCATTTAGTTATTTGAAATTGATGAATGATACTGTTACCCTTTCCACATTGGGTATCATTTCTTTCCCTTCCTTATCCTTCTGTAGAGACTTCTATTGCTGGCAATGGAGGCACCAAATATCCAACATAAGAGTTAAACTTTTAATAGAAATCTGTCTGGCTTGTTGGTGAGGTCCTAATATATGAGGCCCCTAATTTCTACCTAGTCTCAATATGTATATAGTTTGAGTGGTTAGATAGCGATCTGGTGTATCTTGTGACTAGATGGATTATCTCTTCATTGTGGGTTTACTTTTGTCAAATCTGTTCTGGTTTAAAGTGAAAAGATCATGTGTGTATAAAAATAATCCAAAAACCCTTGCAGACACCAAAAAGGAATATGTCCCATTATACGTTTCATGTGTGTAATTAGATCTGCAGTGGAATTTGTATCATGCTTCAGTTTATTAAGCAGTACTGAAAATTTTCTGTGCCCTCTCAGGAGATGTCAGTTTCGTAGTTTACCAGCAGGTGATGCTGCACCTGCATGATGCGTTAATTTCTCTTGAAGTGTTCTTTGGTATCCAATTGTATTTAACCTGCTTCTGTTTGTGAAAGGACAAAATAGTCTGTTGGGAAGTACATGATATTTTGTACGTGGGCATTCATAAGTAACATTTTAAGTTAACATGATATGGCTCTTGTCCAAAGGATTAAATGGTTACCTGAAATAATGAATTTTTTTTAAAGCAACAAAAATAAGATTACTTTTACAGTCAGGTTAGCTAAGAAAGTTAGTCGGCTTTCTAAAAAGGTGTTTTTACAGACCGAAAAACAGTGGAATATATTGGGGAAACATGCACCTTTTGCTCTCGTTCCCTCTCTGTTCTTTAATGTGCCAACAACCTACATTCAGATTGTATTACACAAGACAGGCATTTGTCAAATTTTGTTTAAAAATTACATACAATTCGGCTCTCAAATGGCTATTGCATTTGTATGTGTAAGACAAAAGATACCTTATTAAATTTAGGCTTTAACTTATTTATGAGTGGATTTTCTGATTTGGTTTCTTTGTTGAGAGTATTGAGGTTTGTGAATTTTTTTAATACTGTATTTTTTCAATCTGATTATGCTTAGTTGCATACCCAAGTCCTTGTAAATGTTTTCCCTAGCTGCATGTGGTTAATTGCAGATTTAAATGTTGTATATATTTGTCATTTGTGTTTCTAGTAAAAATACATGGCATTATTCTTTTTAGAAATAGCTTATTTCTTTTTTCCTTTCCTTCTGTCAGTGTACAATTTACTGACTTTTTTTTTTTTACTAATTTTATTTATGGAATCTTATGCCCCTTGCATAAACTGTTTATCAGTGTGTTTTGTGTAAACTAGGTTATGGCCTTAAAACCCTGGCTTTATGCTAGTTAAGGTACACTGTGTCATATAGCATTATATAAAAAATGTATGTTTAATATTTCATTTACACTTGAAAGACTTAAGACCCTAAATTCCTTTGCATTGAACTTCAGAAATAAAAACTTCATATTCTCATAGAAGAAAAGTAGTGATCAGATATACAGATTTCCTGTAGCAGGCAGCATTCCTTATAATACATGTCTTTTGACTTTGGAAAGAAGCAGCATTAATTTTTAGGATCAAAATTATTCAGGTAGTGGATGATATTGTATGTCTTTAGTGTAGTGAAATGATTGTAGCATACAAGGCAAGACTGAATGTGCATTATTCAGAACCTCTGGTAGTCTCCTACAATTTAGGTTATTAGAGGCTGAACGAAAGCGAAGGTTGTTTTTTCATGGAAATATCCATGGTCATATGTTCTCTCAGGATTTTTCCTGTGTTAGATCAGACATGATAAAGGGCCCCTCTAGGTTGTGAACCTTTGAGGCCTGTTGAGATTTGGAGGTTTGAGTCCTTTCCTTACCCCCAGTTATTAAATGTGGATATTGTGTTCTGGTGTAGATCCATCTAACCATCTTTTGAAACATAACTAGTTTTGTTACAGGTGCTAACTGGCAGGTAGTCAAATTTATAGTTTATCTCATTGAAATAAGGAGAAATTTAATTTGAAATTTCCCAACCAAACATGATGGTAACATATACAATAATCTTAAATGTATAGAATTCATCATTAATAGAATTGTAATATAACCAATTAATAGAGCTTATTGACACCACAGCCCCTTGTTTAATGTATTTTGTGTAGAAAAGATTTTGAACTGTTCATATTGTTGCCACATGTTGTGTTATTAAATATACATTCCCATGACATCCTATAAAGCTGAGAAAATAAAGGGTATGCATTCTGAATACACGTGATGTCAAATTCAGTTTGCTTGCTATTATTGATGTCTTGAAAAAAGTAGGTAGTCTTTGAAAGGAGAATAAATTCCTTTTTGGGAAATTTACAAAGGATAACTAGCACTGACGACTCCTTCAGCCTTTAAAGGTTATATGGTCTTCCTGTACTGTTCTTCTCCCTGATCTCCATTCTACTCAAAGGTGCAATTGTTCAAGACATAATTTTAAAGTGTGACCTTGGAAATTTTTGTATTAATAGAAATGCAGACTTATTACATTGCAAATTGTAAACTGATTGGTGTCTGTATGAATGCCTGACTCCAAAAGGTTTTTATGAATAGTAACAGCTTCCTAATACCAGCAGGCCAAAGAGTGTCATAAGGTATTGAGTTTCTGGAGACCTAGATTTTTCAGCAAGGTAAGGTGCATTTCTGAATACATTTTCAATTGAGGCACCTAGGATTCTAAATTAACTTTATTAAGACTCATTCCTTTTTCATGTTATGCTTGGAATTTTACATTAATTTTAATTTTTCATTGGTTTTCTTTTTTAATTACCTTTCTTCCAGCCCTTAGAAGACTATTTAGCAATTTGCTGTCCAACCTTTTTGTTGGTCTTAAACTGCAATACTAGTTTACCTTGTAATGAAGAAATAAAATTCAATTTTTATTAAAAACAAAAACCCTTTGTGTGTCATTTTTATTTTGTCTAACATTCTTACAGCATTCAGCATGTCACATTCTATCAAACTGAGATATTCAGACAAATATAAAAGTAATATTGTGTGCGGAAATAGTTGACTAAATTCTCTTCTAGAAATATTTTCATTCCTTGGCCAACAGTTGTTCTTTTAATTTTGTCATCTTATTTTCAAAATAGCAAACACTTTTCTGCTCAGCTTTGGAAGAAGGAAACATTCATTAGCCTAAGTAGGACAATTTGATATTGGTAATTTCTAATACTGGAAGGCACCCATTTTCTCACCATTTAAAAAACCTGTGGTTCGCTGCGTTTTAGACTATGAAGAAAGGATAACTTTAAAGATTTGCATAGCTTGTTTTGTTGTCAGTGTGTTCATTTTCTTCCTTAAATTAGTCTACATTATTCAAAAGCAAAAATTTGTGTATGCTATATACTGTAGTTTGGCGCAAAAATCTCTGCTACCTGGCTTACGCTAAACAAACTAAACCCTATCCTTTGTAATTCTGAGGATCTGTTCAACCCAGGAAAGCTTGAAAGGGGAAGAATTGCTGTTCCGTGTGTATAGTTTTACTGTTGGACAGTAAAGCTGTTGTCATTACAATTGAGATTTTGAGTCTATTGCTTGCAGTGGTTGCTCTGAAAGTGATGTGTTTGACATGGTTCAATTAACATAGCATTGTCCTAAAGTTGCACTTTGCAGTGTTGCCAACTTTCATGATTTTATTTTGAGTCTTGTGATACCTGGGTATTTTTTCTTAAAGCCCCCTCTCCTGCAGCCATATGTGAGAATCTCAGCTTCCATTTGGAAAGACAAAAATTCCAGCTCTCATGGTTGCAGAGAAAAGGTTAAAAATAGGACCTGAATGTACCCCAAAGACTCAGAAGGCAAATAAAATAAGCCCCAAGTTTTTGTTTTTGTTGTTGTTATTTTTTTTATTTGTAATTGAAACTTCAAAAGGGCGAGAGCCTGGGAGGAGGGAGATTGTGCCTGACTGGTCACAGTCAACTGAGCTCTCACCAGGTCTCGAATAGGAGATTCCTTCCCAACTTCTCCCCACATGCTGCCACTGTTGAGCCATGCAGCACCAGGCCCAGAAGAGCAATTGCCTCTTTCTGCTGCTCTAAGCAGCTCAGCCTTGTGGAAGAAAGCTGCCTCCAGTGCCGTGTGGGGGAGGGTCTCTTCACCCCACATCTCCTATCCTGCCCAGCAGTTATTTCTCTCCCATCTAAGCCAATCCTGTCCCCCAACCCTGCCATCAATTCTGCCCCTGGTCCCAGCCTCATCTCTGCAGCTCCTGGGATTCTTCCCTCTCCAGTCTATTTTTGGAGTGGGGGAGGGGAGCTGCAGCAGGTATCCGCTCTCCCCCTTCTCAGCCCAGTGTTGCAGGGAGGGAGAGGGAAGCGGGGAAAGCGTACATCCCTCCCATTGCTCACAAGAGGGGAGGGGGAAATGGAGCAGCTGCCCTGAGTTGCTGGGCTCTTTCTGCTCCCTCCTGTCATGAGATTGGTGTGAGCTCCTGAGGGGCTGGAGGGAGAGCAGCTCTACCTCTGCAGCTGTCCTGATTGGCTATTCTTTCCGAGGAGGAAGGCAAGTGGGGAAAGCAGCCAATCAGAGGGAGTTTTCCCTGAGGCAGTACTAAAAATGTGTGCCTCAGCAATGTGGCTGGCTTAGAGAAATTTTATTTCCTGCGTCTGTGAAGAAGAGCTGTGTGGTGGCTCGAAATCTTGTCTCTCACCAATAGATAAAAGATGCTACCTCACTCACCTTATCGCTCTAATCTATGGAATCCAGCCAAAAGGGTAAATGGCCCTCACCACAGAATAAGTTTGACACCCCTTGTTTAAACCATGAATCTTTAACCATCAGCATTGTCACACATGGAGTATTGTGGAACGAAGTTCGCACAGCAACATTGTGAACATGAATTGCTGTATAATCACATTTGCATTCAGAAATTGATAGTACTGATACCTTCTGCTTGTGTGTAATGAGATTTTTAACAACAAGGATGAACTGGATAGAGAAGGATTCCAAATAAAACTTTAAACAGGGAAGGGAGGAGCCCTGTAGTTTCCTTAGGTCTTTTTTCACTGGTGTGCAGATAGGGCTCTACCCTTAAGGTTTGGCATGGGACAGCCATGAAAGGTGCACAGAGGGCAGCTGTTGCATGACTGCTGTAAGGTTAAAACTTCAGGCTTGACCCCTCACATAATGGGGAGAAGTGTCATGATTTAAAGACAACCTGGAGGGGTGGTGAGGAGTTGTCAGAGAAGGCACAGAATGTAAACCTGAGAGACAAGGCGGATGGTTGAGGGAGGAAGAGTGGAGGGCAGAGGAGGAAAATAGAGCTCTGTTTTGATCAGGTTGAGTTGGAGCTGGCACTGAGCCATAGAAATTCCCCCTACCTCCTGCTTATACACAGCATGGTGTGTGCCAGATTAGAAAAAAAAACTCCATTAAACAGGTGTTAATCTGGATGTGTTTATATTGGTGCAGCAAAGGGTGAGCACACCCAGACCTCCAGAATCTGCCCAAAGACGTTTTTTCCACTACACTTACAGAAACTCTCTGCTGCTGTTGGAGTAAAGCTAAAGAATAGTTGAAGACTGTTTCCAAACATAGTTCTTCCCTTCACCCATTGATGGGAATTTGCTGCCATTTTTTTTGCTGGTCCTGTTCATCACTTCTGAATAAGTCACAGAAAAACACTACATTCCCTACTGCTTCCCTTCAGACTGCATTCATTGCATGTCTTGCACTTCTGCATCTGCTCAAAGGGAAACTCAAATTGGGGGAATTTGGAAGAGAGAAGCTCCCCATCAACAGGCTTTGTCTACTTTACAGAGAATGACCCATTGCAAATGATGGATGTTAACAATGGGTGTAGCTGAACCTATGCTGAGGACTATTTAGCAGCAACTATAGACAAGGTCAAACCATGTGCAGCACTATTTCCAAAAACTGTTTGTCTCTGTTCAGCAGTGGTTCTACCATGCTAAGCACCAGGTCATTTTTGTAA